GAGTAATTGGATTTAAAAAACTGAGCGAACATGTTAGAAATTGTTTGATTATCACTAGAGACGGTATTTTGATACTTCATGGCCGAAGGAAACCCTCGTACATTTCGCTTGGAGTTTACGAAATCATAAAACGATTTGGGGTTATATATTATACGTCGTTTGATTTTACACAAGTAAGCTTTATAACAGTTTTTGTTTAATTCAAAGAACTTGTGACGCAATAGTGAGTATTTTACATAGCATGAGTGTAAACCGTTTTTTTTTGTGTAATCTAAAATAACGTGACTCTGTTTTTCAAATTTCTCAGTTCTTTAGTAAACCATAACTGTGTTTGTTCTTCAGGAACACACACATGCGTTTAGGCCAGAGGTTCCCAAACTTTTTTTCTCGTAGACCCCTTTCAAAACTCTGCTGGTTTCGGTGGACCCCCTGCTGCTGCATTTCTAACATATTCCCAAATCTCGTAAAAAAATTGAAGATTAGATCTAACGGAATTCGTAGTGGCAAACATAAAAAGAAAATGTTGCCTTGTGTTCTATTTATTAAAATAAATTGATGAAACACTTGCAAGTTTTAAAAAACTGAGCTCGTAAAGTCATCAAAGTACTCACTCGCTCTGAGGAGTTATATTTTTTAAAAGCACTCCGAGCCCCAGCGTTACTTACATTTTCTTCACCATAAACTCCTGACATGTTTGGCTCATGAACAGCGTTGCCATTTTAGCCGTTTTCCGGCTAGATTTAGCCGGTTTTGATAGCAACTAGCCGGAGAAAATTCGATCTAGCCGGCAGCCGATTTGTTAGCCGGTTTGTAAAAAAAAGTTAGCCGTTTTTAGCCGATTTTACTATTTGCCTAATTTTCAGGTGCAAAAAGTAAACAAGTTGTTCGAAAGCAATAATGCAGACCCAATGAAGATTTTTAATGAACTCAATGTTTTACTTTCGCATCTATGCTCCCTAGTGGTTATTAGCGCGGACACATTTGATCCTATATGCTCCCCGTTGGAACCATACCTTGCTCCATTTCCTCAGTTTTATCACAGTTTTGAAGAGTATTTAAAAACAAAAGTAAGCACAAACGCTTTTGACCACGAAGCCGAGAAAATAATTCGAGAAAATGGTCGCTATTTTATTATCACTTTAATAAAGGAATTACGCCAACGCCTCCCTACAAATATTGCCACACTAAAAAAAATTGACTTTTTTCGGTTGGAAATGCATTAAGAGTAATTAAACCAAAAGTATTTGTTCAACTACAGCAACAAAAAAACAAATATAATGCCGACGAAATAACATCCATAGAGATGCAATGGCAACGGTTAACGTTACATACCTGGAGTAATTTAGACTCAACTGTAAAATTTTGGGCCGAAGTTTATCAATTTCGAAATGCCCTAGGAGAAAACCCTTTTGCTGACCTTTCCAACCTAGTTTTTAGTTTTATTGTTTTGCCTATAAGTAATGCAGAAGTAGAGCGAATATTTAGTTCAATGAATATAATAAAAACTAAGCAAAGAAATCCAATGTGCGTTAAAACGTTAAACGCTATTTTATATATAAGATACGGTTTAAAACGTGAAGAAAAATGCTGCCATAATTTTACTGTAGATGACGATCTCTTAAAATTAATGAATTCAGGTGATATATACAATAGTGATTAATTTGATGATGAGGAATATACACTCGATATAAATTAATGGTGTTAACTGGTCTTTCGTTTCTTGCGATTTATTTTAATAAAGCATGTGAATTTTCACTAAAACATTTTAGCCGTTTTTAGCCGCTTTTTTTTGCCAATCTAGCCGGTCGGCCCAAAACGTTCTGGCAACACTGCTCATGAATTTGCATTTGGTGTATTTGTAAAATAGTTTACTTTTGTTTATGGCATCATTTTTGTTTCTATAGCTCCGAGTTTAAAAGGGATGCGAAAAATGTTTACCACTCACATTTTTAAAACACAAAACTTGAAACAAAACCGCAAAGCTTTTTACGCCAAACCTTAAAATCAGAAGCTGACAATACAGAAAAGACCAAATCTAGAAAAAATCGATGACAAACAACCAAAGCAAAGCAAACAAAGTAAGAAACACAAAAAGTGTTCCACCGCCTCATCCTCTTCAAGGCAAAATGGGTAAATGGACTTGTCATTTACGCCTGTCATAGGTGTTTGTGCCACGTGGAGTGATCAGTCAGCAGTCAAGTTGTCTGCAGTCCCGACTACTCGATAAGAGCGAAAAACTATATAGACCTTTTTAGATTGAAGCCCACATAAGTTTTGCCCACCTGCATCCTCTCGATGCCTCCCAGTCGTTGTTGAGCGAGGTTATCACCCAGTTTCTGATGGTGGCTTCGATGGCCGAAGTGTGGAGTGCTATAACAGAGTAAAGTAAGCTCGTTATGTTTACCAAAATAATTTAGTCGAGACTCGCATTGGCAAACTAGTTGGGAAGTACTTAGATAGAGGGTTGACTAATGCCTTAAGTGCAGCTTGGCTGTAACTGTAGACACGTAAACTCCTTCCCGTCCACCCATTTTCCACCACGCAGTCCATGGCGTTGAGGATTGCAAATACCTCAGCCCGAAAGACCGAAGCATATTCCCCAAGAGAAAAGTGAAGCGTATCCCCATTAGCTTCAAAAAAGACCCCAGATGCTGACCCAGAGTAAGTTTTGGAGCCATCGGTGAAGATTCGACAATGTGTGAGTCCAGGCTCTGTGCTGGAATTAAACCAGCATTCAGCTTCAGGGTACTCAATATTATAGAGTCTCTTCAACAAAGGTAATGGTGGCGTACTATCCTGTAGCATTAATAAGACACAAGTGCTCAAATCTGCCGCCAGCAATTTCCGTCTAGTCCCACTCAGTGTTATACCAACATGCGTTTCTTTTTAGTCTGCAGGTGGCCTTTAAGGCTTCCCCACGTACGAAGACCCATAGTGACGTTAAGTGCAACAGTGCGTCAAGAGCACCATACACCACTCTAAAAATTTAATTAAAAAATTAAGTTAAATAAAGAGGCTATCAAGCCACCATTTCCGTTCTTTACTATCGAAACCAGATAATTTTCGTGGACCCCCACTTACAACTCGTGGTCCCCCATATTTTTTTCACGCCAACGTAGACCCCCGTCGAGTTTCCTGTGGCCCCTGGGGGTCCTCCCGGACCACTTTGGGAATTACTGGTTTAGACACATACTTTTCAAACAATTGATGTACACTAAACTTTAAAATGTGCAACGCTTTGCTGAACCTTTTCTTTGTTTATAAGCCACGACAATTTAGACAATTCTTTAATCAGTTTCTTAAAGTTGGCTTTCGAAAAATCAAAGCGAATATTTAGTTCGTATGTTTGTATACCGCGATTTTGACCATCGTTTATAATTTCGTAAGATATCTCACTAGCAGGGTGGTAGACATCTTCGGGCAAAACTAGTGGGTCACATTTATTTTCAGCGGACTTAGATGCATCATCAACCTAAACAAGATCTAATACTTTGCCAAACTTATTGCGAAGTACATTAACTTCATTTAGGCAGAGTTCAGCCATCTCCTCTAAAAATACGTTGTTGCAGGCACTAGACGCGAAAGGTACGATATCATTGTCAATGATGTTCCATGATATGCTTGGTAAATTAAAATCACCCAACACAATCATTGAATCAGAGGGTTTAGTCAGTAAATTAACTGATTTCAGTAAAGAGATGAGTCGTGAATACACCAATGTGTCAGATCGGGGAGGGATATAGCATAGAGCTAAGTAAATATTCCCTTTTCCAGCCTGTACTCGAATGCATTTGAATTCTGCTGAATCAATGTGTGGAAGACTTAACTTCTTCAGATGGTATTGAAGAGTCTACAGCGAAGAGTACGCCACCGCCGATTCTGTCCCCCCTAGAATATCTGAATTGAAAATGTGAGGTTTCCGCCAAGTTTCAGTAAAAGAAAGAATATTATAATTACATTCAATGCCTTTAAGGTATAAGTTCGTTACTTTAGTATTTAAGCCTCTTACATTTTGGTAATAAATATTTAAAGCAGATTTAATAATTAGTTTTTTGTTTCAGTATTCTGACGGGGAATATTTGCTAAATTATTATTTTTGTTGTTATGAAAGGTACGACATCATTGTCAATGATGTTCCATGATACATTTTGTAAATTAAATTCACCCAACACAAACATTGAATCAGAGGTTTAATCATTGAATTAATTGATTTCAGAAAAGAGACTTGTTGTGAATACACTGATGAGTCAGATCGGGGAGGAATATAGCATAGAGCTAAGTAAGTAAACCCCTTTCCAACCTGTATACGAATGCTTTTAAATTCTGCAGATTCAATGTGTGGAAGACTAACTTCTTCAGATGGTATTGAAGAGTCTACGGCAAAGAGTACGCCACCGGCGATTCTGTCCTCCCGATCTTTTCTGTAGATATGATAATTATTTGAATGAATCTCTGAATTAAAAATGTGAGGTTTTAGCCAAGTTTCAGTGAAAGAAATTATATTATAATTGCATTCAAGGCCATTNTTCTGTCCTCCCGATCTTTTCTGTAGATATGATAATTATTTGAATGAATCTCTGAATTAAAAATGTGAGGTTTTAGCCAAGTTTCAGTGAAAGAAATTATATTATAATTGCATTCAAGGCCATTAAGATATGCAGGCATGTTCTGTAAATCGTTTTCGATCAACATTTTCGGATTTTCCGTTTTTAAATCGTATAACACGTTCTGTAAATCGTTCCGTTTTTGTTTTTTTCGAACATTGCAAAATCGATTTGTCACCCTGTTCTGGAAAACGAAATCGGTAAAATTTTACTGTTTTGTATTCGGCAACGTAGACGAGAGTGGTTTGAAATTTTAAAATATTTTGTATCAATAATACGCATAACAATGTAAGTATTATCTTGAAATATATCATCTTATTTGTAAATAAGTGTTAAATATCAAAAATATGCAGGGGGAAACACAAGAACTCCAAACAAGAACTAATTTTTGTTCAGTTCATGGAAAGTCATCAAGATTTGGCCAAAAATTTTGTAAAAAGCGATCGAGTGAATGCCGAAGAGAAGTGGAAAGAGCTAGCCATGTTATTGAATGCAGAAGGTCCACCACAGAAAGATGTGAATGGTTGGAAAAAAGTAAAGTTTTAATCTAATTTCCCAATTCATGTAATTTAAATAGCTTTATTGTTTTGCAGATATGGTCTGACTGGAAAGCGAACATTAAAAAAAAGGTAGCACATGATAATATGGAGTCGAGGGCAACAGGAGGACGGCCTTTTAATAAATATATATTAACCCAAAATGAGGAGAGTGTGGCTCGAATTTGTGGCATATTTGCGGCAGTCGAGGGCATAGCACAAGCTAGGACATTCGGGACACAAGAGGAAACTGAAAGTGTGAAAGTTGGTGAGTCCGATGAAGATGAACCTCCGCAGAAAAGCCACGCCGCCGTCAGTGCGCAGCCACGGAAAAGAGCAAGAACCGTGGATAATGAAGATTGTCTCCGTTTGTGTATGACAACACAAAATGAAACAATGAAAACAATTGCAATAACGCTGGGAGAAATATGCGAGAACCAAAAAAACAATGAAAACAATTATGATTTTGAACGCCTTTGTAAAGCGGTGGAAACCCAAAACCAACTTCTAGCGGAACAGAATAGTTTAATGCGACGTGACATAGAAGAAAAAAAGAAACATCATATCAAGATGGAACAGTTGGTACAAGAAAAAGTCAAAATAAAAAGAGGATGCTCGAGTTAGAATCATCAATGAGGTGATTTAATATATAGATATTTACACTGAGTTTTTGTTAATTTATTTTTTTATAAGTGAATAAAGTTTACGTTCTGTTCTATAATATTAAATTATTGGCAATTGAGTCTCTTAAATTTCGGCCAACATTATTCAAATTTGTATTTTCTTCGAGTTCAGTATTTTCTTCAAAAATTTCTTCAGGTTGGGTTGTGCTTTCTGTTTCTACAAAGTCTTCTATTTGATAATGCCTACAGATGTTATGTAATGCACAGCAAATATTTATAATCTTAACTACTTTTTGTGGGGCATATGGTAACGCTTTTTAAACATCTGAACCTGCTTTTAAGAACTCCTATTACGCTCTCTATATATTACGAGCTTTGGCATGTTGGAGATTAAACCTATGTTGTGGTGATCCCGGATTAGGATCTCTATACGGTGTCAATAAAAATGATTCTATTCCGAATCCGGAATCACGAAGTAACCAGGATCCGCGGTCACCAGCTTCATATTTTGACAAATAATGTTGCTTTGCATTACTCATATTAAAAACAAAAGCATCATGGCTTGATCCAGGTCGGCTTGCATCTTCTGCTTGTATAACCATATCGGAATCACAAATCTGTAAATTCCAAAAAATTTTAACTTAAAAACGTGCTTATGCTGTTCAATTTCATACTTACAATCATTGCATTTATGCTAAAGTAACCTTTTCTGTTATAAAAAAAATGCACATTCTCCAAAGGTTTTACTAAAGGTACGTGAGTTCCATCAATACAGCCAATTACACCTGGGATTCCAAATTTTTCCACAAAATGTAGTTTGCATTTCCTCAAATCCTCCGCCGATCTGTCCAACTTAATCCACTTAGGACACAGCACAGTTTCCAAAGCATTGATAATTTCTGACAATATTTTAGATACTGTGCTTCTACCCAAAGCAATGTCAGTATCCTTGCCGACAGAACGTTGGAATGAGCCTTCTGCGAGGAATCGAAGGCATGCAGCTAGTAACGGTATAGATGTTTCCTTGACAAATGGAGTTATCTCNAGGAAAGGAAAAGCAGTTAAATTTAAACAGGCAAACTCCTCGAACGATTGTTCAAAACTTACATTGAATCAGGCGTACTTAGGGGNATTCTATTCCGAATCCGGAATCACGAAGTAACCAGGATCCGCGGTCACCAGCTTCATATTTTGACAAATAATGTTGCTTTGCATTACTCATATTAAAAACAAAAGCATTATGGCTTGATCCAGGTCGGCTTGCATATACTGCTCGTATAACCATATCGGAATCACAAATCTATAAATTCCAAAAAATTTTAACTTAAAAACGTGCTTATGCTGTTCAATTTCATACTTACAATCATTGCATTTATGCTAAAGTAACCTTTTCTGTTATAAAAAAAATGCACATTCTCCAAAGGTTTTACTAAAGGTACGTGAGTTCCATCAATACAGCCAATTACACCTGGGATTCCAAATTTTTCCACAAAATGTAGTTTGCATTTCCTCAAATCCTCCGCCGATCTGTCCAACTTAATCCACTTAGGACACAGCACAGTTTCCAAAGCATTGATAATTTCTGACAATATTTTAGATACTGTGCTTCTACCCAAAGCAATGTCAGTATCCTTGCCGACAGAACGTTGGAATGAGCCTTCTGCGAGGAATCGAAGGCAAATGAGGAAAGGAAAAGCAGTTAAATTTAAACAGGCAAACTCCTCGAACGATTGTTCAAAACTTACATTAAATCAGGCGTACTTAGGAGGTTAGCTTCATCTCTTAACCGTCGTCGATTAACGCTGATTTGATAACGTTGCTCCCTTCCATTCAATGCCTAAGCTGCCATAAAAAACATTTTATTTTTAAAGAAAATTCGTTTAAATTCAATTTTTCTAACAACCACCTCTTTTGTCATCATGTGTTCAGTTGACGTAAAGCCGTCAGCTATTTCGAAGTTACATTCGAATTTCAAAGAAATCGAACGAATTACAGAACACCTAAACGAAAATCGTTCGAATTGTCATTTCGGTTCCGAATTCAAATCGTAAGAATTTCAGAACATGCCTGACAAGTTCGTTAGTTTAGTATTAAAGCCTCTTACGTTTTGATAATAAATACTTAAAGCAGATTTAGTAATCAGTTTTTTGATTCAGTATTCTGACGGGGAATATTTGCTAATTATTATTTTTGTTGGGCGTATACTCAAATTCACGAACGAAAGCTCGGGAGGGCAAAAAGAACTACTACGCAGCATGTCAAAATTTTCTAAATTTACTTGAATTTTACACGAAGAAATATTTCTTTCATATTTAAAATTAAATTTTCTGATACTTAAGTTGATAGTTTTATTAAATTTGGACGAAATGTAAAACTTTATATCGTCTTCGGGAGTATCCCTCGAAAATCTAGAGACATATATAGACTTCTTTGGGGGAATCACAACCAGTCTCCTAGTATTAGACTCGATTACCGGCAGAAGGAGTTGAGTAACTGAGTTACTAATTGAGTTTTGAGTAAGCGTTAGAGCAGAGGTTCCCAAACTTTTTTTTCTCGTAGACCCCCTTCATAAATTTACTGGATCGGTGGACCCCCTGCTGATACATCTCTAAATATTCCCAAAGCTCGTAAAAAAATTANTATGGCTTGATCCAGGTCGGCTTGCATATACTGCTCGTATAACCATATCGGAATCACAAATCTATAAATTCCAAAAAATTTTAACTTAAAAACGTGCTTATGCTGTTCAATTTCATACTTACAATCATTGCATTTATGCTAAAGTAACCTTTTCTGTTATAAAAAAGATGCTCATTCTCCAAAGGTTTTACTAAAGCTACGTGAGTTCCATCAATACAGCCAATTACACCTGGGATTCCAAATTTTTCCACAAAATGTAGTTTGCATTTCCTCAAATCCTCCGCCGATCTGTCCAACTTAATCCACTTAGGACACAGCACAGTTTCCAAAGCATTGATAATTTCTGACAATATTTTAGATACTGTGCTTCTACCCAAAGCAATGTCAGTATCCTTGCCGACAGAACGTTGGAATGAGCCTTCTGCGAGGAATCGAAGGCAAATGAGGAAAGGAAAAGCAGTTAAATTTAAACAGGCAAACTCCTCGAACGATTGTTCAAAACTTACATTAAATCAGGCGTACTTAGGAGGTTAGCTTCATCTCTTAACCGTCGTCGATTAACGCTGATTTGATAACGTTGCTCCCTTCCATTCAATGCCTAAGCTGCCATAAAAAACATTTTATTTTTAAAGAAAATTCGTTTAAATTCAATTTTTCTAACAACCACCTCTTTTGTCATCATGTGTTCAGTTGACGTAAAGCCGTCAGCTATTTCGAAGTTACATTCGAATTTCAAAGAAATCGAACGAATTACAGAACACCTAAACGAAAATCGTTCGAATTGTCATTTCGGTTCCGAATTCAAATCGTAAGAATTTCAGAACATGCCTGACAAGTTCGTTAGTTTAGTATTAAAGCCTCTTACGTTTTGATAATAAATACTTAAAGCAGATTTAGTAATCAGTTTTTTGATTCAGTATTCTGACGGGGAATATTTGCTAATTATTATTTTTGTTGGGCGTATACTCAAATTCACGAACGAAAGCTCGGGAGGGCAAAAAGAACTACTACGCAGCATGTCAAAATTTTCTAAATTTACTTGAATTTTACACGAAGAAATATTTCTTTCATATTTAAAATTAAATTTTCTGATACTTAAGTTGATAGTTTTATTAAATTTGGACGAAATGTAAAACTTTATATCGTCTTCGGGAGTATCCCTCGAAAATCTAGAGACATATATAGACTTCTTTGGGGGAATCACAACCAGTCTCCTAGTATTAGACTCGATTACCGGCAGAAGGAGTTGAGTAACTGAGTTACTAATTGAGTTTTGAGTAAGCGTTAGAGCAGAGGTTCCCAAACTTTTTTTTCTCGTAGACCCCCTTCATAAATTTACTGGATCGGTGGACCCCCTGCTGATACATCTCTAAATATTCCCAAAGCTCGTAAAAAAATTAAATGTGAAAATTAGATCAAACAATGTAAATTTTCATCGCGGGTGAATTCAAAAACTAAACCCAGAGTGGCCAAAATAAAAGTAAAATATTTTCTTGTGTTCAATTTATAAGAATAATATGATTACACACTTGTAGGTTTTAAAAGATAGAGCACGCAAATACATCAAAATACTCTCTCGCTCGGAAGAGTTATATTTTTGAAGAGCACTGCGAGCGCTAGCTATATTTACATTATCTTCACCATAAACTCATCAAATGTTCGGCTCACTCATGACTTTGCACGTGGAGTATATGTAAAATAGTTTATTTGTGTTAATGGCATCAGTTTTATTTTTATCGCTCCGAGTTTTAAAATGAGGCGAAAAATATTTTTTCACGTTTTTAAAACACAAAACTTAAAACATCAAAACCGCTAAGCTTTTTACCACAAACTTTTCAGAAACTGACATTAGAGAAAAGAACGAGTTAAATAAAATCGATGACAAATAACCAAGACCTTGTGAGATTGAAGGCAACATGAGTTTTGTCCACCTGCATCCCCTCGATGCCTCTCAGTCATTTCTGAGTAAAATATTCACTCAGTTTCTGATGGTGGCTTCGATTACCGAAGGTGGGAGTGCTAAAACCGGCTGCGGACCGAGGAGTGCCTGGTCTGAGCCAACTCTGGCCAATTGATCAGATGTCTCATAACCAGGTACTCCAGAGTGACCTGACACCCAGAGTAAAACAACCTCGTTATGTTCACCATCATTTTTTAATCAAGACTTGCATTACCGAACTAGTTTGGAAGTAGTTAAATAGGGGGCTGGTCAATGCCTTAAGTGCAGCTTGGTTCTCACTGCGGTCACGTAAACTCCTTCCCCTCCACCTATGTTCTACCACGTAGTCCATGGCTTTGAGTATTGCAACTACCTCAGCCTGGAAAACCGAAGCATATTCCCCTACAGAAAAGTGGATCTTATCTCCATTAACCTCGAAAAAGACCCCAGATCATGACCCAGAGTCAGTTTTGGAATCAAACCAGCATTCAGTCTCAGGGAACTCAACATTATAGAATTTCTTCAACAAAGGTAAATGAAAAGACACAAGTGCTCAAGTCTCTGCCGCCAGCAATTTTCGCGGCGCCCCACTCCTTGTCATACCAGCGTCCGGTTCTTTTTAGTCTGCAGGTGGCCTCTAGGGCTTCCCCACGTATGAAAACACAAAGTGCCGGCAAGTGCAGCAGTACGTCAAGAGCACTATACACCACTCAAAAAAAATTAAAGTTAAATAAAAAGGCTATCAAGCAATCATTTTGGTTCTTTACATCGAAACCAGATAAATTTTCGTGCACCCCCATTTACAACTCATGGACCCCCATATTTTGTTCACGTCACCGTGGACCCCCGTCGAGTCTTCCGTGGATCCCTGGGGGTCCACGTGGACCACTTTGGGAATCACTGCGTTAGAGGATTAGATGACGGTGCCACAACTTCAACGGGGGAAGGGGAAGATACTTCAGGCTCGTTGTTATTAGAAGNACCGAACTAGTTTGGAAGTAGTTAAATAGGGGGCTGGTCAATGCCTTAAGTGCAGCTTGGTTCTCACTGCGGTCACGTAAACTCCTTCCCCTCCACCTATGTTCTACCACGTAGTCCATGGCTTTGAGTATTGCAACTACCTC